ATCCCGGGCGGGTCACTGGCTCCGGGGGGATGCGGCGAGCGGGGCGCGGCAGGGGATGCGGCCGTGGGGGTGGGCGCACCCGGCGGCGCGACCTTCTCTCCTCTTCCTCCGGGCTCGGCCTCGCCGCGCGCACTACCGGCTGGACCCGTTTCAGGGTTGAGTGCCGGAGGACCCAGCCGCCAGGTGCAGCGCTCCGCCTCCTGCGGCGGCGGCGGTGGCTGCCTCCGCCCGGCCTCCCGCCCTCCCCGGCGGTCCCGGGGGACCCCGGGATCCAGGCCTGCGGGGGACGCGCGCGGAGACCCGGAAAGCTGACAGGCGAGGTTCTCCCACCACCTCCACCGCCCTCTGCATCCCTCCTCCACTCACATAGGCAGCTGGGGCTGAGACCCGAGCAAAGGAGGCGGGCCTGGCCCGGGGGTGGGTGGGTGGGGGTTTGTAATGATAATAAAATATAATAGACATTATTTACAGAACATTAATTGTATTCTGAGCTCTCATGGCTTAGTGGATAAGGAATTACTTGTGCTGCCAACCTGAGGGTAGTCGGTTGGAATCCACCAGCTGCTCCACCTTGGAAAGACAGGCAATCTCTTCTCTTGGGATTTTTACTACCTCTGAAATAAACCCAGCTGCAGGGTGAGCTGTAAGTCGGTTCCAACCCAACAGCTGTAATAATTTTTGAGAGAATTATGTTCTAGACATATATGGAGACGTTATTGGGAAGAAACACTGAATATCCCATGGACTTCCGAAAAAGCATAGGATATGTCTTGGAAATAAGTGCAGCCAGAGTGCTCCTTAGAGGCAAGGATGACAAAACTTCTTAAGTATTTGGAGCATGTTGCTAGAAAAGGCTATTTCTTGGAAAGATGGCAGGTCGGATAAGAGGAAAACCCTCAAGGAAGTGGACTGACTCAGTGACTGCAGCAGTGGGCTCAAATGTGTCAGAGATGAGGATGGTGCAGGCTAGGACGGGGTTGATTTCTACTGTTCATAGGGTCGTTATGAGTCAGACTTGCTGGACTTCACCGAACAACATGGTACATGCTCCAGACAGTGCTAACGAAATTAATGCTGTTTTTCGATGTTGTCTCTGGTTCCCACGTCAACCTGAGAAAGGAATGGTGCCTAAGACTAGAGGTGGACTCTGAGGGAGTTTAACAGCTCATGAAAGGAATTTTCCAGGCTGAAACACTGCTATTTTAAGAAAGGACTTTGCTTTGAGTATCGGGTGCTTTACAGAAGAGGTAGCCCAGTCGCACTCAGAAAATAAAGTTGAAATTCTGGTTGTTGGCATCAGTCAACTATGACTCACCCTAGGCACATAGAAAGGGTGAAGAGAATGGAGGTGATTATATGTATGTGTATATGATTATATGTATGTGTATATGATTATATGTACATGTATATGTATACACACACAATTCATTCAGTATTTTTTGTGCCTGTGTTGGGCATTGTGGGATGCCAGGATTATTCCCAGTTTCTAATCTGATTCTAATAACAGTAACAATAGTGGCAGCTAATATTTAGTAATATTTTCTTATCTGTTATTGTGGACTGTCGAGTTGAAGTTGACCCTCCAGTGGGTTTTTGGAGGCAGTAAATCGCGAAGGAGGAGATTGACCATTTTTCTTCTGAAGAGCAGCTTGGTGATTTTAAACTGCTTACCTTTCAGTTGACAGGGCTTTGTCTGACATAGTTTGGACTTGTTGCAAGGAGGGACCAGCCCTTGGAGAAGGACATCATGCACAGCACAGGAGGGGAAGACCCTCTATAAGGTGGATTGATTCAGTAATTGGAGTAGTGGGGGTGGGTGTGTCAGAGACTGAAATTGGCACAGGACAGAGCAGGGTTTAGGGCTGTTGTACATAGGGTTGCTTTGAGTCGCAGGCAACTGGATGGCACATAACAACAAGCCATCAGAGTACTGGGAGGCTTAGTGGCAAGACACTTTTCTGCAATCAAATGCATACGTTTCTCCAGAGCATCAGCTATGGGTCAGTTCCCACTTGAAATTACAAAACAAGAAGCCACCAGAGCTGCTTTCCCCCCCCTTAATACAGAAAGAAATTTTTTTTTCATCTAGAAAGATATTCTAATACAGAAGGCACTGTTTAAGTACTAGTTAAGCCTTACCATAATCCTAAAATCAGGTAATGTTAGGCTGGAAGTCCATATGATTTATCCAAAGTTACTACATAGTAAAAGGGATAGCAGGCTTCTTTTGTCCCATGATTTAAGTTCTTTGTTACTAAATCATAATGATATGTTTTCTATAGGCCTGAAGTTTTAGGATTTAGGGGGAAAAATTAAGTTACAAAGAGGAACTCCATCCCTGAAACTTTAGTTATATTTCATGAGAAATTCCCCTGCAAAATTGGCACATAAAAGTGAAACATAATGTATACTGCACTGAAACGGAGGAGGGAGAAAGCTGTTTAAAAGAGATATATAACTAGGTATTTCTGTCATCACAGGAGACTAGAGCGAGGGCTACATGGTGGAGGGGACCTGGGGCAGGGTTTGTAAAACAATGAAAGAATCTTTTCTTTTACTTTTCCATAATTTTTGACTCATGTACTTATAACTTGTTAGTCAAATTTGTGTCTACTAGGTTGCAACACCCCCATGATACATCTTTAAGGATATGAACATGTACGGCCAAGCACAATCAATAAGAGTGCATCTAAATTCCAAAATCAATCTCCATAATAGTCTATGTGTTTCCTACTGCCAAAGGGGCCCTTTAGAGTAGTGAGAGAAGATCTTCACCCTGAAACCCACAGCGTCCCTTTTCAGCAGGAAGTAGCTAAGAGAATACACCATCCCCTTTTCCTTATGACTCAGGGTGAAGTCTCTCTCAGGGAAGAGTGATAGGGAATGGCAAAGGACACACCGACAAAGGAGATTAATCAGAACAGACTTTGACAAGCACTGTGGCAATTGGACAATTAAAACAGACATTTGGATGGCGGGGAAGAAGAACAAACTGGGGAGGAGGGTGGAGAGAATGGTGCGGCAATGAAGGAGTGAAAGCCCAGAATCCCTGTGAATGTTCATTGAAACTAATAAAATTTAATAATAATTTAAAAAAAAGTGAAGCATAAAGGCAGTTAGTGCTAGAATTTCAATTGAAAGAGATTGAAGTGGTTGCTGGACTTAATAAAATAACTGATTTCTGATCTGGTGCGTCCTGGAGACAGCTTCCCACCACAGTCTTTGAAACTGCAATTGCATTACCATTCTTCTTACCTATCCAGTAGTAAAGCAGCAACATTTTTAAAAGGAAAAAGAAAGTGAGCAGACCCCAAGTTTAATATGATCCAAGTCCTAAATTGTTTTCTGTATGTGGAAGGAGTGGTAGGAGACCTGGAAAACTTAAGGAAACAAAGGGTAAATTGGGGGTAGACTTGTGGGAAGCAATTAAATTAGCTCATGATAGGACAGGGATTAGAGCTGTTGTAGGGTCGCTATGATTTGCCAGCAACTTGATGGCACATAACAATAAAAACAGCTCAGAGGTGACCCCATGTTACAGATTTGTTTTGTGCTGGAAGTAGAGCTGCATTTCTCTCCCATGCAGGCCAAAGCAGCATAAGGGGCCTTGTTTTAACTGGCCTTACTAGAGTAGAAATTCCTTCTGACAACCACATCTTGAATATCTTCAGATTGTCTTGGCTATATCTAGTGTGTCTTTTTTTCCAATTCATATGCATATTAAGTATCTTCTAGTTTTCATTTTTATTTTTTTAAGATTCAAGCAAAGTAGCTACTATAGCCAAGGAGAAGGTACAGATTTGCATAAAGGAAAAGTGATCTCCTTGCAATGTTCCCACTCCCTATGAGGTAACCAGTACGTGGGTGTGGTGTGGGAAATTAGTCTGAACACCAGGCAGGCTGTTCCAGAGGTCTTTGCACAGAAAGACTCAAAGACAACATAAAGATGTTCAAATCACACAGTTGAATGAATTATTTTTAAATGGTCAGTAAAAATCATTAAGCATTACTGATTGTCTTCTCCTTGAGACTCTTCCTTTCCTCTGAGTTCTATGACTACAAGCTGTAGATGTTCTTTTTATTCTCTGGAGGGAATGACCAGGCAAAGAATATGAAAAAAAAACTCGCATAGGAGAAATTTCTCTGAGGCAGGAAAGAACTAGACTTGTAACTGGATCACAGTGAGTGGTGAGCTAAGGAGAAACGTCGAAAGATGAAGTTGAAGTAGGCAGAAACCAAGTCTGGCAGGAACCCATGAGTTGAATTGAGCACACTGCATTTTAACATATATTCAAACCAGGACATTGGAAGATGCTTGTTAGGTCTGATTTGTGCTTTTAAAAGATGTGTGCAGCGTTGAAGTCCCTGTAGTGCTTCTCACTGAATCCTCCAGCTGCTCTGTGTGAAAAAGACAGGAAGTCTCTCCCAATAAATAGTCACAGCCTTGGAACCCTGCTGGAGGGTCACTATGAGTCAGAGGTTACTCAAGAGAAAGGAGTTTGATTTGGGGGTTTGGTAGGGCTCCAGTGGAGAGAATGATGTGCAGAGGGACAGAAGTGGGAGTGAAGCTCAAAAGAACCAAAAAATGAGGAGAAACATCAACATTGGCTTGGAGCAGGTTGGTGGCAGTGGAATGGAGAGGAGTGCATGCATTTGAGAGGTACTTTTTTTGATGTGTATCAGCACAACTTGGTGATCTACTGAGAGTGGGTGGCAAAGGAACGGGAGGTGTTAAGAATGACTCACCGGTTTCTAGCTTAAGTAACTGGGTGGATGGTGATAACCTTCACGGAGAGGAAGACTGTGGGAGGAGCAGGTGTTGAGGAAAGAAAGCATTAGTTCATATTTGGCATAATATGCTTGAGGTGCCTGCGAGATTTGCAGGTGGAGCTGTGAAGTTGGCAGTTATAAATTAGTCCAAAGCTCGGAAGAGATGGGTAGGCTTGGCATTCGTCAGTTTGAGGTGCTATTTACAGAAGAAAGGGGATCACCCAGGGAAAGAATATAGGCAGAAAGCCCTGGGAACAGCCAACAGTTACAAGTCAGGATAGGCAGAGGAGCTGAGAAGAGTCAGAAGAGAAGAAGTGACAGGTGTGGTGTCACTGAAGCCTGGGGAGAGTGTTTCATCCAAAAGAAAATGGTTAACACTCTACTCCCCTTTTCTCTGCCTAACTCCTACCACTCTTACTTGATCTCCTTTATGATAGTCTTTTAGGGAGCCTTTCCGTACTTCTTAACAAGTTTGTTGCCCTCCTATGCTTCTACGCACCGTGTGTC